GCCAGGATAGGAGGGTGGGATGTTGGGTGGGGGGTGGGAGTGGGCTTAAACCATTAGTTCTATATACTAATGACTAGTATCTAAATTCATGTTGCTAGGTCCATCCCTCTGAAGGGCTGAAAAGATTTTGGCTCAGTTACTAAGAAATCCCATCTTTCTTTGCCTATCCAGAAATAGTAGCAAATCCAGAAATGTGATAGAAGGGAGCTCCGTTTGTGGTTTCGTAATTCTTTAATTAGTGGTAATTGAGTTTCTAACCTCTTAGGAAATGAATATGCTCTCCCCTTAGCCTTCTTTCCAATACAAATTTTGAATCAGCTCAGGGTTGAGTCTCTCTAACTTGCACAGAATTCTTGGGAGATAGAGCCTTATAAAAATAACACCACTAAAGCCAATTCTTTCTATGCTTTTTGGGAGCCTTGAGCATTTGTTATTTAACTAGGCACTTCAGTAAAGAAGAAAAACATAAATAACATTTTTAACCAAAGAAATATTTACAATACCTTGTTTTCTTCCGCTGGAGGAGAATTGGCAGTTTGTCTCTTAAGTAAGAGATTGTGGCTGAAGAGTTAGGTAATTTTTAACTATAAAGGGGAAGAAAAAGTTCTAGCTCCTCCCTCTCCTTGACCCCACCCTTTGATTCCTTTCACAAGCCTGTACAGACTCTTCCTTTCAGACTTAGCTTGCTCAGAAGCTCAATTAAAAAGACAAAGAGAGAGACAGAGAGAGATGATTGAGGTGCTATTATTACTGAATTACACACAATTTCCATGTCTGTCTTCACGTAGCCACCGGAATTCTGACGCATTGTAATTCACACCCTCCTTGCTTAATCGTTTCTCCAGTCTGGTAGCAAGTAGAGTGGTTTTCCCTAGCAGACTTTTTTTTTTTTTTAAGCAAAAATAGAAAGCTTCAAATTAGTGGAATAATAATGGTCAATGAAATGGAACATGTTGTCAGTGAAGTATTTACCTTTTAATTGTTAAAGGTTTCTAAGTTACCGATGAGAGGCACTGAGAAGTTTTGCTGCTCCTCTTCTTCGGCATGTTAGTGTAGAGCTCAGAGCAGAACTTCTCCATGAGGTGTCATTCTCCCCACCAGCAGAGACAAGGGGTCTGGTTCAAGGCTTCTAGACACTATTACTGTAGCAGAATGGTGA